CGGCTCGGCCGTCACTTGCTGTTTGCAGAGGTGGGCGAGTCAGGCCTCCCTGGCTACCACCGAGGGAGCGTGCTGGGTGGGCCTCCCTCCCTCAAGTGGCCAAAGCCAACACTCACATCAGACGCCACCACGGCACAGTCACATCACATCAAACCCAGGGCCGTGGGCCATCCCAAAACCAGCCTGACGGCCAGGGGCCCAGAGCACAGACCGTAGTTAGGGCCCGACAGGCCCCTCCTCACAGCTCTGCATACAGAGAGGTCCGAGGCCGGCTCTCCCCACGTCCCACCCCGGCATGTGCGTTGTTTCAGAGAGGAGCCCTGAGGCCCCCACCCTGACCCGAGCCAGGTGAGAAATACCCCAGCGGGCACGCTCACCAGTCGGCAAACACCGCACAGAGCCCCTCCGTCACCTGGGAGAAGCAGTCCGCACTCGCCCGGAGTCCAGGCCACAGCCAGCACCGCAGGCCCAGTTGGACAGACAACGCGGGAGTCCAGACAGACCGTGGGCAGAGTCCCAGGGAGAAGAGCCCAGGAGAGCACCGAGGACGCCCCCGGCCAGGAGCAGACTCACCCGAGGCCTGCAGGAGCCACAGCCGGCCCTGACAGGGCCGAGTCAGGCCTCCCTGGCTACCACCGAGGGAGCGTGCTGGGTGGGCCTCCCTCCCTCAAGTGGCCAAAGCCAACACTCACATCAGACGCCACCACGGCACAGTCACATCACATCAAACCCAGGGCCGTGGGCCATCCCAAAACCAGCCTGACGGCCAGGGGCCCAGAGCACAGACCGTAGTTAGGGCCCGACAGGCCCCTCCTCACAGCTCTGCATACAGAGAGGTCCGAGGCCGGCTCTCCCCACGTCCCACCCCGGCATGTGCGTTGTTTCAGAGAGGAGCCCTGAGGCCCCCACCCTGACCCGAGCCAGGTGAGAAATACCCCAGCGGGCACGCTCACCAGTCGGCAAACACCGCACAGAGCCCCTCCGTCACCTGGGAGAAGCAGTCCGCACTCGCCCGGAGTCCAGGCCACAGCCAGCACCGCAGGCCCAGTTGGACAGACAACGCGGGAGTCCAGACAGACCGTGGGCAGAGTCCCAGGGAGAAGAGCCCAGGAGAGCACCGAGGACGCCCCCGGCCAGGAGCAGCCTCCCCCGAGGCCTGCAGGAGCCACAGCCGGCCCTGACACTGGCCCCGACGCTGGGCTGTCCTCACCAGCCAGAATGGACCCTGCCACCCCTGCCCTGTGTGGGACTCACTAGGCCTAGACTCAGCGACCGCCACCCCCAGCCCCTAAAACAAGATCCAAAAGGATCCAAGTGTGGAGCCAGACGTGGTGAGCGGGAACACTGCGCCTCCCACGTGGGGGCCCTCCGAGGGTCCCCTGCCCTCGCCCGCAGGCGCACCCTGGCCAGCTAAGGCAGGGGTGTTACTAGAGTCACAGCCAGAAGACCCCACCGAGTCATCTCTCCCTTCCTCCCCACTCTCCCCTCTCTCCTCCCTCCCCTACCCCCCCCTTCCCTCTTCTTCCTCCCCTCCTCTCACCCCCCCTCTGTAGGAGAAAACACAGTCGCAGTGAGTCCGAGTAACGTCACACCTGTCTCTCCGTGATTAGGGAACAAATGGGGGAAAACAGTGAGAAAATGGAAGCTCTAAACCATGCCACCAACTACAGGATCAAGCGTCATGTGGGGACACTGCCCACCGAGGGGGCGTGCACACCCTTCCCGAGGGCGTGGTCACCAAGCTGGAGCTTCCCCTGAGCTGTAAGGCAGGTGGCAGTAACCTGGAGTGTCTGACCTTACAGAGCACATCCTCTACCGTGATGACAGTGGGCACCTGTCACAGAAACCTCAGTAAAACCCGAACATTTGGAAGCTAAGTGATACTTGGTCAAAAGAAATCATCTCGGGAAATGGAAAGAAGACGTCCCAGCAGCTGCAGGTGCAAGGGGCAGGAGAGAGCAAACACCTGCCTCAGGAGGAGACAGTTCCGCCGACGCCGTTCATCTTCCAAAGCCAGGAAGGAAGGGCGAGTGGAACCCCAGGGGAGGAGAGCGGCAGTGAGGGTCGGAGTGCGAGGCTGCAGGGGGCGTGGCGGCTAAGGTGCCGGCTTCGCACAGCCGACCACGGTTCCAGTCCCGGACCCGGTGGCTTAAACTCACGCCGGGCGCGTGTGCGTGCGTGCCCAAGATCCCAGGAGGAGAATGGAGGAGAAGGGACTGCGGGGTGGCCATCCCCCCGGAGCAATTTCTCACTTTCTGTCTCTATCTTTCCAGTGAGCACATGCACTCTCTGCGAGAGAGAGAGAGAGAGAGAGAGAGAGAGAGAGAGCAAACTTCCGAACCACAGACACTGCTTTAAAGGAGCTGGCCTTCAGCAGAGGACGGAAGTGCCAAAGCAGAAGGCACCCAGGGTGGGCCCAGCCGCCCAAGTGGCCCTGCGCAGCCACAGCGGTCCCAATGCCTGCATCTGTCCTCCCAGCACTTTAAAAAGAAATGCTTGGTTTTGTTCTCGCGGACTGAATCGGCCCGGCTTCCCAGTGGATCGCCACAGCATCGCTGGAGACGCACTGGACAGAAGCTGCCCCTCGTCTCTGAAGAGCGAGCTACCGATCACAGCAGGCCTGGCCGTTCAAAGAGCTGCGGCCGCTTTCACTGCTCCCCACCACAGTCGGTCAGTCGATGGGCTGGGGGGAACAGGGCTTCGTGGGTTAGACACGAAGCTGTTGTCCCCGCACAGCTCCCGACACCGCTAAGTCGCACTGTTTTAGATGTAATGTTTCATTGTTACCATGGATAAATACAATCCAAATGATTCGAGAATAAGTACAAGTTATCCCGAAAAGCGACCTGCTGCTTGCCCAGTCTCTGCCGTCCTCCCTCCATGACGCCCAGAGACTGGGTGAGGCAGGAAAGCGGGTGAACACTGAGCGTGTGGCTGAGCGAGGACCTGAGGGGAACGCTGTGTGCGTTCTTCGTGTGTATACAGAAACACACGCGTGACACACATGTCCACATACACAGCACACACAGGGATCATTTATAAAAGAATCGGAAAAAAATTAAGTGAGTTATCACTGGGTTGTCAAAGAAGCCGCGACCTTTCTTCAGTTTTTCTGTGCAGAAATGTCACGACTCTCCTGACGATCCAGGAACGAGACCTCTGGCTGCACAGTCATTTCATACCTGAACTCCAAAAGGACGCGCTGATTTAGCTACTACTAAAGATACGGTTAAAACTCTTTTCCAAGCCAACAAGCTTATGGAAATATTTCCAGTTTATACATAATGGCAGAAATGTAATCTCCCTAACAGAGCTGAAGTGGACAGCCTCACGGAGATATTCGCGGTAATTCACTCCTGGGAAGCCGGAAGCGGCCCGGAGACGTGGGTCCCGCCGTGGACCACCCGACGTTAGGGGTGACAATGCCCACAGCCCCTCCAGACTGGGGGCCACGCAGGGGTCGAGGCGTGGCGAGAATCGCAGTCAAGATGCCACTCCTGGGCCTGGCAGGTGGTACGGACATTGAGGTGCTGGTTCCCACACGGCCGGCCGCAGTGGGACCTGATGGTTTGAGGACCACGTCGGGCGCGTGTGCGTGCGTGCCCAAGATCCCGAGAGGAGAATGGAAGGGAAGGGACTGTGGCGTGGCCATCCCCCCAGGGGTGATTTCTCACTTCCCCTCTCTCTCTATTTCTCTCCAGCGAGTACACGTGCAGTGTGCCAAAAACCTAAACAACAACAAAATACCTCTCTCCCGTTCACTCTTCTTGCCCCTCCTTATTTTCCTTTCATAAAGGAAAAAAAATATTGTACATTAAAAAATAAATAAGAAATATAATCAAAAAAGAAAAAATTCCCCCTTCAAATTAACAGTTCAGGGAACCAGCAGTTAGTGTAATGGCTGTCGCTGGACTCCCACGTGGT